GCTTTCCTGATTAAATCTTAGCTCGTGACGTTAGCGTGATTCCTCTGCTTCTCTTCTTTTCTTTTTGCCTTTCTTTGTGGATAAAGGAATAGTGATTTAATTTATTGTACTTTTGTTTTTATTTTTTTTAATTCTCTCTCTCTCTCTGCTCTCTCGGCCGGAGCTCTCCACAGACGGACAACTGACGGACACGTCGTGTCTCCCCTCCTGTTCACTGCTGTGTTGGACATGTCCTCCAGCGTTGTGTTGTGTTACGTTGTGTTGTGCGATCTGACGGAGTAACAAACACGACAGGTTTACAAATCCTCAGGATGTGTGTGTGTGAACTGGGCCCCGCCCCCTCTGTTGTTCTACAAAAGGCTACGTTCACACTGCAGCTCAAGTCCCTTTTTTTTTTGTTCATGGTCGTTCACGTTAGGGGTTTGAACCTTCAACCTCCATCAGCCTCCAGTGGAATGGTCTACATCACACACCATGTTTAAGTGATTCTCCAGTGGAACGGTCTACATCACACACACACCGTGTTTAAGTGATGATAAATGACACACACGTTAGTGTGTCTGGCAATTTTTCATTGATCAAAATCAGGCAAATTGACGGCTTTGTCGTCATATTTGCAGAGTCTCCACTCTCCCTGCAGATGGGGCTGTTGCAGACGCCCAATTTTCTCGTCACCCCCTTAAGTACTGAGGACATTTTCATTTGGCCCAGTCACTCGTCTTTATTGAACGTGGACTGTGTCAGATTCTGTGTATTTGCAGTCACACTACGATGAAAAAACCAGATTTGTGCCATTTTTTTTGTTTTTTGTTTTTTTTTTTCCTGCAGTGTGAGCGTAGCCTCGGAGACCTGGTTTATCAAATCTGAACTTTTACCTTTAAAATGACTGTTTTAAGTTCTTCTGACCGAGTGTTTCCGTTTGAGGTCCCAGGAGCCACGGGTTTAGACCCAGTTACAGCATAAAATAAACCCAAGCTGATGAATTATATCAACGTTAGTTCAAGTCCTTCCTTAAATTCTTCTTCACTATTTGTCCCCCCCCACCCAAAAAAAAAAAAATTATCTTTAGTCGACCTGTGATCTAAGTCCTCATTAGCACCCTCTACTGGCCTCTTATACCAGAGTCCAGGCAGTTACATGCTAATATGTTTACATTTAATATTTCTTATTTCCTTGTTGATAATGTAATTAGAGAATAAACTCTACGACAAAAGAATTATTTTTGTTTTTAGCCGAGAATCGTCGTTAGCATTTCCTCCTTTTGATTGAAGGGTGAAAAGGTCACACGGGAGCAGAGCATCAAACCCAACACTGATGGATTTCATTTAGTTTGCAGTTTAGAAGAAGTTGCACAAAAAGAACTTTATTAGTGATTTTTTTTTTTCCTGGTACTTTTGTTGTGTTCAGACGGAGCTAACGTGTTTGTACCGAGACTTAAGTGGTGACGTTATTTTGATTTCATGAAACCCGGCCTTTATTTGAGTCCTTTTTGTTCAAACGTTGGTGTGTTTTTGTTTTAGTATGATTTTTTTTTTAAGATATTTTACTCACTGACTGCTTTGGTACCTGATTTTTTTTAACTTTGACTCTGGACTCTGCTGGAAAAAAAACGTACTGCTGTGTCTGTGTACGTGTGTGTGTGTGTTTGTTTGTGAGTGAGAGTTGATTTGTGAATGTGTGATTTTGTCTTTGAACATCTCTCTCTCTCTCTCTCTCTCCTTTGTCATTTCAGTTTTGAAGCCTGGTTCATTAGCTGTCTGGTCCAAGCCTGCTTGTCTGTAACTGGAGTTAAAGGTTGTTCAATGAAGCCATAGATCTAATCCACACAGACTTATCTCAGTTTTGTTCCTTCTTGGAAGGCTGTAAATTCACAACTGCTCTCACGTGGTCCCGATGAGATTCGGTCGACACGTGAAAGTGGAATCAGAAGCGTGTTTTTTTTTTTCCCACCTTTTCTCTGGGTTTCCAAAGCTCCTAAATCGACACCGTGGCCCACACAACATCCACAGTCCATTCTTTTCACTCTTCCCCCGATGCTTCTTTTTTTGGACACTGATACAAAGATCCCACACTCTGTGCACGGCCTCAGGGTGAGTGATAAATCTGAGCCGATGAGCAGAGGTACGCTGGGAACGGTGCACGGCAACGCTGGAAAACATTGGCTACCAGAAATCATTTCTATCATTATTTTTAAACAGCAAACACGCAGCTGACCACACACACACAAACACACACACACACCAGCTGTTATTGAAATAAACCAGACTAAAGGGAGCACTAGGAGAGTTCTAATCTTCTCCAAGAGCAACACAACCCAAACATTTTCTGCAGCGCCCCCTTCTGTAGATCGATGCAATCTATTGTTTATTGTTAATCTCCACCCAGTCATTGAACAAAGGAAATAAAACGGTGGAGAAAAGAATGAAATTTAAATTAATTTGCCACCTGCAGGGGGCCTCCCCCCCCACTTTGGGAAACACACACTGTTTCCCAAAGTGGGGGGTGCAGTTTGAGCTGAATCTTACTATTTCTACCAACCAAATTTTGTGGAATTAGAAAATGAGCTGCGGCTTCATTTCCATCAGATACAGGTAACACGTGTACTACTAAATCTACCAACCAAATTTTGTGGAATTAGATACAGGTTTCCATCAGATACAGGTAACACATGTACTACTAACACGTATTACTACAGAGTAGTATTTGTTCAAGCAACACAACAGTTAAACAGGCCATCGAGGTGAGTGACGATGGTTTGGTTTGACCAGATCTCTCACTGCATTCACCTTCGTCAGCACGTCGTCAAAATAGACCAACAAATGGGTTTGATTTTGTGGCAAAAATGATCGAAGGTGAAACTATTGAAACAGTGATTCCTTTAAAAAAAACAATTTAGTGCCATTTACTCACTTTGTCATAAATAAAACACATACTGTACTGAAATATAGATCCATTTGTCTGCCCCCAAAGGGAGCCCGCTCCTCACTTTGGGAACCTCTGTCCAAGAGAATGAGAGAAACTTTAAAATTCTAAATCGGAGTGAACATTTAGATGTCGATATTTTAACATAGATATTCAAGCGTTACTCAACCTCTGGTGCTGTCCTTTGATGGTTCGTGTACGTGGCAGAAAATCGACGAAACAACAAGATTTAAATTACAAACAAACACAAAATGCTTCTCGTCGCGCAGTGAGGAGTTGGGAGGTCAAAGGTCAGGGCTGCCAGAGTTTCCGTCTGCACAAAAATGTCCAACAGTGAGCTCTGTGCATTCGAGGTGTTTGGACATTGACACTGTTACTGGTACTGTCTGTGTGTTTAGAGTCCTGATCAAACGTAGTGTGGAGGGCAGTGGACGCGCCGAGGCCCGCATTAGTCGTATTTTTGTAAAGTTGAAAACACTTCTAGTTGGGTAGAGACAGGATAGCACTTTGTAGAAGGCTAGGTGGCAGATAGTGCTACTGAAACAAGGTGGAAATGTGTGAGTTGTGTTGTGTTAATTTTGCTTTTAATTTATCTCTTTTTTTTTTAAATGAGACACCTGTAGAGATCAAGAAAAAGAAAAAAAACCTCCTCTAACTACACAGTGCCACTTGTTAATTTTGTGAATATAATACTAGACCTTGTAAATACAATGTTATATATGAAAAAAAAATCTTTAAAATAAAAGGGGAAATCATTTGTGAGCAGAAATATTTTGTTTTATCTTATGTTTTTTTTTTTTCTTTCTTGGGATGATTCAAATGTGACACAAATGATGTGTATTTTAAGACTGCTTCTTGGAACCATTCTCAGCAAATGTATATATTATGGATCACAGAATAATGAAATGTTTTACCGTATATTACCCTTGGTTTACACCGACCTGTGTCATGAAAACCTTTGTCCTCGGTTGCTTGTTTTGTTTTTTTTTTTTTTTTTTTGGTATGATGATTTTACAGTGCTTTGGACATGTTTATAAGCTTGATTGTGAACAATTAAAGCTTGTCTGTCAAAGCATGGAGACGTGGCGTCACATCACCTTGCTTTTCCGAAGTGTAAAAGTAAGGCCTACTAGAGGACAAGTGTCTTATCAACAGAGGCTCTTTGAAGAAACAAGGGTTCAACATTTCCAAGGAATAACTTTCCACAAAAAATTACTCAAAAAACAGACAGATTTGCAATATAATGCCAGATTATTTGCTAATATTATGCATTTTGGTAAAAAAAAAAGAGAGGAGAAGAAGAAGAAATAATAGAACAACAAAGTCTGCACCAGAGGCTGTGATGGAATTTGAAGCGTGATCATCAGTGGTTAAACTAAAAATGGAAATTAACGTTGCAAGAGTTGATATTATTAAAGCTACTACTACTACTAAGGTAGTACTTAATTCCAAAAAAACAACAGTTCTATAAAACAAATGTGCATGTGTATTTAACAGTTTGTTTCAGGCACAGACAGTTCTTTCTCTATTTTTAAAAACATTTTGTTTGTTTATACACTGCCTATATGCATGGAAATATTTAGTAATATAACCTTATTAGCTCAACATACAGTTTAGCTTTGAGTTTTTTTATTTTATTTAATTTCAATAATTGCGTAGGTTTAAAAACTATATCAATCGCATAACTTGAATAACTGTATATAGAAATTGTAATACCCACACATAGCAGAGAGAGGTGCTGCTGTTCAATAAAGATTAGTGTACAACATAACTTACCACCACACAACATTTTAGCAAAGGGATTTCAGTATTATTTTAAAAAACATTAAGCCACATCATTCGAACCTGTCACGTGATTTTAACTTTTTAAAAAGCATGGTTTTTAATATTATGTTTACGACAGAAATTTTTTTTTAGTTTTTTTAAATCCGTAAACACCAATCAAGACGTTATCATCTATGTGTAAATATAGTCATAATAACACTTTTTAAATATTTCTAACACTCACTAAAACAAATAAAAAGAAAGTTTGTCTCTTTAAAAATGTTAATCGTGCATTGTTAGGGATTTGCTGTGACGTCACTTCCTGAGGAAAGCTTTGCCTGCTACTTTTTGTTGGGACCTGGGAGGAAATCATCCCGCTAAGAACCGAGGTGAAAAAGGGGATAAAGAGCAACAAAACACGCGCTGTACGCGATGGAAACGTACGAGGCTGATGTTTAATCATCAGCAATGCAAGCGGATGTGTTTTTACCGTGAACTCAGGCCTACAGCTTTTGTAAGTATCGTAATCCAAACGAATCCACAAGTGGCTGCGGAGCAAGTGTTTTATCCAGCGTTCAGGGCTAAACGAGAGGCGTTCGTTTTGTTGTAGGAAACAAGCTAGCGCGGGCGGAGGCGTCTTGAGGGAGTGTGTCTTTTGCTAAAACGGTTAGCTTGTACAGTAAGACAAGCGGACACCTGTTGCATTTGCTCATACCTGGTAACCAAGGCCTAAAATCCAAGTAAACGTGTAATGCCACTTTTTCTTTTCGTGTATATGTAGGATATGCTTCTTTTAGTAGTTTAGTTTAGTAGTTATTGTTTGTGGTTTAAATTATCTTATTTAAATACCAAAATATTACAGGACTAAGGCTAAATATCGGGACTGGCGTTAGCTGACTCGCCAAACCGCGAGTGCCTGGACTGTTCATTGGTCATAACTTTGTTTTGTTTGTTTGTTTTGTTTCTTGACACTCAGGAGAGCAAAAGTGAGAATTACCTTTGTTTTCAATCAATTTTCTGTTTCTAAATGAAGATTTACAAATATTTCTGGACAGAATAGACAGTAAATATCACATTTTATTTGAATATAGGGGAAACCGGAGTCAGAGTCCCTTCTGTCTGCTTGCATACTTGGCCAATACGGCTGATTAGGATTCGTGGTTTATCTTTTCAATATGGATGCAGTCCAATTTTGTCATAACTTCATTTGAAATGTACAGCTGCTCTCTTCCCATTGGTGGAGACAGGCCTGTGAGGCATCAACATGGCCAGTTGAATGCTAGCTTAGAAATGGTCCGTTCAGTATTTCATGTTTATCTCCTGTTGGCAAATAGTAATATTTGTGATATAATTTACTCCCCCTTCCTAATAAAAGTTTTGACAAAGTGTTGTGTGAAAAGTAAAATCTTTACAGTACAGTTGATTCTCCTGCACTTGTTGTCAGTATTACATTTTTTAAAATTCTGAACTCATTTCCCTCTTTAATCTCTCTTTTCTCATAGCTATGGTGCTTTGACCCCCCCTCTTGTCCATGATGCTGAGTTTCCTACGCAGGACGCTGGGACGACGCTCCATCCGGAAACATGCGGAAAAAGCCAGGTTAAGAGAGGCTCAGCGAGCCGTGACACACATCCCTGCTGCTGGGGATGCAAAGTCCGTCATCACCTGCCGCGTCTCCTTATTGGACGGCACAGACGTCAGCGTCGACCTGCCGGTAAGAGAACTTCGTTTGTTCCACGTTAGTTTTTTAGTACTGTTCCAAGTATAGTGCTGTTCGATGCACTAAATTGGTCTTGGTTTTCCGGCTGTTCCTCGCCAGTCTTTTCATGTCTTAGCTGGTCATCGCCCTAACAGACAGATTTTTTTTTTTCCAAATGCAGAAGAGTCATGTGCTCATGACAGCTGTCAGTCTGTGTCAGGGGAACGGCCTGTTTTAGCTTCATCGTGGGTTACAGGGTAGAGTGGGAGCGTAGCATGGTGCTAATCATATGTAATTCCATGATCCTCTCCTGAGTAAACACTTGATCACATGACCGCATCATGTGATGTGCTTGTCTCATTGTCCAGCGGACGTGACGTGTCTGTTCTCTGCTCCGTAATCCTTGTTATAAACCTGATGCTAATAAACCTTTTTTTTACTGGAAAAACATAAAGTAAATAGAAAATAAATTACTGCTTTGAATGTCAGTTAAGTATTTCTATGTAGTATGTTTTGGCGAGGCCACTTTGGCATCAGTCTTTACTGATGTGATGTCCCACATGAGTCAAGTGAACCATTTTATAATGGTCTTCAGGAAGTCACTGACCTCTGGTTAGTTTAATGTAAGCCTCCTGTGTGAATCCCATCCCCCAGGTCTAGGTTGCTTCTGCAAACCATTATCTGTTATCATCCAAGTCTGACAGGCTGATAAGGCAATAAAAAACTCCACAGCACTTGAGAAAAAACTTCTGTGTTTAAATGTTTTGACTGTAGCCGTCTGATGAGTTCTGACCCAGACAGATGAGTCGGAATGTAATATAAATTAACTGAAAAAATACAATTCAAATACACCTTTTTTTGGCTTTAACTGTTCTCTGTACGTAAGCAACAAAATTTCAGTTTAAGAGTTCACTCTGTCAGGTATTTTTCAGTTCTGTGTTCACCTGTAAACAGTTAGTTGTGTTTCTTCTGTGTTCACCTGTAAACAGTTAGTTAAAATGTGTTTTTTTTCCTGGAACTTTGAGACTTTGTGACTAGTTTATACATTTTATTCTTCTTCAGTCCGGCACCAAATGATTTACGGACCACTATAGAGCCCCGTCCCAGTAATTGGGGAACCCTGAAGGATGACTGGGTCTTAAGAAATATTTGCAGTGAAAAAAAAAATTCTTGTTTCCCTCTTGAAACACTTCCACTCTGTCTGTACAATAAACTGTCTTTTTGTTCTTCAGCTGCATACTTTCTGTTCATCTCAGTGTAGCAGATATGTGCCGTTGCCCCCCCCCCCTGCCCCTGCCCTCACTCTGGGGTGCAGTTAATTTGTCTTTTTATTTGTTCAAGTGGTTGTAAATACAGAGCCAACATATTTCAGTGACTGAGCTCCGTTCTCTCACCACAGCCTTCTGTCTGTGCTCTCGACGTAAACCCGACGTTGTCTCCTGGGGAAACCACTGTTGAACATCGTCAATGTCCGCACATAACTGCCCCCCCCCCGCATTTTTTTTTTTTAATGTTTTACTTGCCGTTCGTTCTTCAGGTGTTCTTTTAAAAAAAATAGAAATAAGACATTATGGTTAGTTATTTGGTCGGTCTAATTCACTCAATCCAACAGGTGTCGTATTGAGATGAGTTAACTGTTATGCTGTATTTTCAAAAGTAAAACTGCAATACGGTCAAACAATACTGCAAAACTACACACACGGATAAACACACAAGCATGCACGCTTCACACAATACGTCCTTTGTGCTCACCCTAGTTACTGTGTGTCAGCCATGCCAGCCACCTAGGAACTTAGGAAGGAGAGAGAGGAAGGAGACAGTTCTCTTCTACAGTGTTTCATCCTGTTACTCATCTGAACTCTGCGTTTTTAACTACACGATATTCTTCTGGTAACATCTTGTAAAAACTCCTGTCCTGCATAGTTTATATAAACTGTGTACTGTATCTTTTCAGAACCAAAATGATGGTTTTTATCATGTCACTCTTTATGCAGATGATACACTAATGCCTAAGAAGTGTTTTGTAAATTTCCTAGGTCATCGTATGATAGTAATTCTTAACCTTACAGTAGTGTTCATAATTTAAAAAAAATGCAACCAAAGTAATTCATTAAAAAAGTAGAGAAGAAAAAAAACAACTTGTAACTTGTGTCCGAATTATGGACATTTTTTCTGTCTGTAGTCACATGATCACATGGTTTGTTTCAACCATGCTAGGACCTGGACATCTGGGGCACTCCAACCCCGGTTTCCATGGTAACCCTGTGACTGTGCCTCCTGGTAGGGTCTGAAGTGTGTGTGTGTGTGTGTGTGTGAGAAAAAGTGCACATGTGAGAGAGTGCAGCCAGAGCACATGCAGTAACTGGTACGGCTCTCTCTGAAGGAGCTTCAACTCAAACTATGAAACAAACAAACAAAAAAAGAGATTTATTCAGCTCCATAAATCAGAGGTGGTCTGTCCGTCTACTAGAAAAGAAAATAATCACAAGTTTGACGAATAAAGACTCGTAAGATAAACATAACGTAGTCTGTAGGGTGTTCCTCAGTGAAATGATGAACCAATAAAATAGTAGGAAAATAAATCACTAATAAATCTCTCAAATCCTGCTATTTATTTATTTTGTTTGTTTTTGTCCCGGTTTAGAAAAAAGCCAAAGGTGAGGAGCTGTTTGAACAGATCATGTATCATCTGGACATCATAGAGAAAGACTACTTCGGGCTGCGCTTCATGGACTCCGCACAAGTGCCGGTAAGAATTCTGACTTATGTGCTGTTTAAAGTGCCGGTAAGAATTCTGACTTATGTCCTGTTTAGTTTTTTTTTTAAATGTTACTGTTTGTTACTGTTTGGTCGACGTCACAGAGAATCACAGACGTCAACGTCAGTCCAGTCTGGTCGGCCTTTTGGTCTCAGGGATTTTCCCTCTCGGTGAATGGATCAGTTGTGGGACTGTGTGTTAGTCAGACTGGAGTATTTTAAGTCAATGGTCCGACACCGACTCTGTTCTTTCACTCTGATGCTCCTTAAAGAGCGTGGAAGGAAGATGTGCAACGGGGAGTGAAGATAGGGTGGAGGAGGGGGGAGTGAAGTGGGAGGGAGAGAGAGAGAGCTGCATAAGGAATGTGGGGGAGAGAAGTGTAAAGTCTGTCTGTGTGTGTGTGTTGTGCTGTTATCTCTCTGTCTCCCCCTCTCTCCTCCCCTCTCTCCCTCCCCCCCACAGTCCCACCCTTCCTCCCCTACCTTTCTTACATGCAGGTCATTGACTTTGAAATAAGTGTGTGTGTCTTTGTGTGTGTGTGACTGCTCCTTTAGCTGCTTCTAAAGTCTGACTTTAACACTGTTCTTTTTATCAGTTCACATAAATATGTAACACAAATAAATATATAAATATTCAGGAGCTGAAATTAAAGGATATAAAATGAATGCAGTCCAAAAACAGGAGTAAAAAGTCTGTTCAACAGGTTGACCACAGATGGTAAAATGATTATTATTAGATCATCAAAGGCTGAGTCAAATACACGAACACCAACCTTTGTCGAGGCTCAAATACTTCCCTCACGAGTTCTTTCTGTTTCAGCACTGGCTGGATGTATCAAAAAGTATCAAAAAACAAGTAAAAAGTAAGTAAACGTGTGACTGTACTACAGTGTGCGTGTAATACTGTGTATAACTAAAACTGGTCTCTTTGGTGCCCCCGCAGTCGGACCACCGTACTGCCTTCACCTGAGAGTGAAGTTCTACTCTTCAGAACCAAACAACCTTCACGAGGAGCTCACCAGGTGAGCCGAGACCAGAACCACAAACCTCTGCTCTACTTTTTTGTTTTCACACACATTTAAAAGCCAATATAA